GACAAAACAAAACAAAACGGGGGGTGGGGGTGGAGCCTATAAATACTTCCAGATCTGTTGACCTTTAGGAGTGTTTTCCATTGAGTCTGAGGGGGTGCCATGCCCTGGCCTTCACGTACACTTTCATGACTCCAACCAGGTCATCTCAGCCCCAGAGGTGGTCCACAGACCACCTTAACCACTTTTGACTTTGCCTATATGCTTTAAGATGTGAGTTCCAATTTAAGCTTAGCTAAAACCAAAACACATAGGAGTGTGGTGGAGTGAAATTTCTTAATATGGCTCTTTTAACTAAGTATTTGTAACCCTCTTGGATGGGCTTATGCAAATAGGATGTGTGTAACATTGAGGGTTTGGTCAATTTTTGTAACCACCCACTGGCTATAAAGATGAGCCGTTGTTGAAGTAAAAGGAAGAACCCCTGAGTACCTTGAAAGAGCACATCCGAGACCTCCGTCTGAAGTAGCATAGGGCGTTGAGACCAGGTGCGCCACAGAAAGAGCTTTGTATCAAAGAGCAATTGTATACTGAGAAAACAGTATACAGGATCACGTCCATAAGTCCGATCATTATCCCATGTCCAATACTAGTCCATAAATTCCTCTTCAGACTTATGCAGCACATGCAATGATGCTAACTACAGGAAGATCATAGGCCAGTGGGTGAAAAGTCTTGTGGATCCAGTGGCATTGGAAGCATCTCAGCACTGGTTTGGATCCCCTGGTGGCTCCTCAACAGGAAGGTGAAGCAGAGAGAGGCTCTCACAGGGCTCACCAAGTCTCTGAATGGCTTGTCAGCAGAAAGACAAAGGCAGAGAGGAAGTTCCCAGAATCCTCATGAGAAGACCACACCCACAAGGAGGCACTATCAGGCTGTGGCCTGATTGACAGGCTGGATTCCACCCCTACACATATTTATCAAGTTGACATGAAATGATGTAACCACCACAGGCTGGTATCAGAATAGGTAAAGAAGGATGGCGCTAGGAGGCATATGGGACCCCTGCCTCATGGCAGTGAGGAAGCCAAAAGAAAGATGTCCAGCTCGATTTCCATTTCTTGCAAGGACTGTAGTGGAGTTCTAGCGTTCTGCAGCACTTAAAAAAATAATTAGCAAAGTGGCTGCCTATACAGGAAAATCGGCCAAAGCTGGACCCTGTGCAAGCTGGAAACCTGTCTGAGAAGGAAAATGCACGTTTTCCACAAACAGGAACAGGAAAACCTGTGAGACCTGGAAAAACGTGTCTTGTGGGGTTTGGACTTCCACGAGAGTGTCTGTCCTTTTATCAGGAATGTAAGCATGACTCGTGACAATGTTTTGCTAGAGCAAATGACCATAGACACTTTTGCATCTACTTTAGGAACGTTCGACTATTTCCGTTAAGACTCTCCCTGCAGAATCCATATCGCAGAGTAGGAAAATCAAGCCACAAGGCTTCACGGTCAGGAGACATTAGTGCCAATTCTGCCTCTGCCATTGAGAAGCTTGGACCAGTCGAGTAAGCTGAGCCTTGCTTTCCCATCTGAGAAGCAGAGAGAATATGAATCCTTATCTCCCAGGGTGGTTGTGAAGCGAGGTGAGGGGCTAGGTGACAGCACCCAGCAGAAAGACTGGCACTCAGGAAAAATTTAATGAATGGTTTTTGAATCTGACTTAAAAAAAAAAATCATTGTAGACTCATGTTTGCTCGAAAGCAAATGCTTACACACGATTCTCCTAAAATTGGGGTTATCCTCATTTACTTGGCTCCCCCACCACCACCGTCAAACCACCAGGTCAAGTCCATAGGAGGGCCATGGTATTGTATTGACTTGATCTCTAGCCCTACCTGAGCGCAAGTGGATAGCGAAGCCATCCCTGCGTGGTGCAGAAAGACAGCCACACGCAGCAACTTGGTCTGGAATCAGCCTTGGTGGTTGTGTGGCGTTGATTACTGAGTGACAATTAAAACGTGCCATCACCTCTCATGAGCTGAGCGGGTTGGTCTCTGCTCTGACGACCTGCTTGCCCGAGCGGCCGACCCCTCTGGGGGCGGAGCCAAAGACTCCTCCCTGCACTGGGGCAATCCTGGTCGGTGTACAAGAGTTGCTGTAGCAACCCCGAAGCTGCGCTCTACCTAGCAGCAACGCTTGTGTGGTGATTCCATTGATTTTGTGTTCACTTAAGTGAGAAAAAGGTTTGTTTGGTTTTTATTTCATTAGAAATCAAAGGGTGGGAAGCGCAGGGGGGAGCGGGTGAGAACTTCCTAGCCAAGGCAGGTCTCAACTCTGATGAAACCAGAAAAATCCAGTGTTTGAAGCAGCAGGTACTGTGAATATTCGAATCCTAGAAATGGGCTTTGAAGTCTTGAGTGAACTGTGCTTGGGTGGGTCATCGGCAGCTGCCAGAGCATTGTTACTAAGTGGTACCTAAAGATAGGAGTTGTGATTGCGTACTCTTCTGGAGCCCTCCTGGCTTGTGTGGGGGTTATGTATGCATTGGGCTGCTAGCCACAAGCTCAGCAGTTCGAAACCACCGGCTGCTTCAAGGGAGAAAGATAAGGCTCAGCTCTCGACAATGTTTCGATTGAACCCGGGGACCATGTAGTGAGCTAACTGGCTGGAATAAGGAGCGTGACATTTTCTTGAGACTTCTTGGCTGCCTTGTGACTTTCAAAGGACAATTTTAATTATAAAGTAGTACTCTTGATCGTGATCAAATAGCAAAAAATGAAGTCCGAAACTGGACTTGGACTATCGTAAGAAATCAAACTAAAGGAAGAATGGGCCTGATGAGCCATCGCAATGGAAGGAGTGCTCGCTTTGGACAGAGAGGTGCCAGCTGCCACTAGTGATGCAGGGTCAACAGAGAAACTCCTAATGGG